GATAAATGGGGGGGCCCTTTTCCCCCTCCTGTTTAAAAAAAATGTAAAAAAAAACAAATTTTTTTTTTTAATATATACCTTAAATTAAAAAAAAAATATATTTTAAAATATATATATAATATAAAATTAATTTTTAAAAATTTTATTTTAATATATAATATAAATTTATAATTAAATATATATATATTAAAAATTAATTTTTTAAAAAAAAAAATTTTAAACATGAAAGGGTTTAAAAAAATTTTAAAAAATAAAAAATAATAAAAACCCCCCTAAATTATAAAAATAAATTTTACCCTTAATAAATAACATTGGGTAAAAATAATGTATTTAATTTTTTATTAATAAAAACAAGGGAAAATATTCCAAGGGAAAATTAAAATTAAAAATTTATTATATTTTTTTTATATTTAAAATTTATAAAAATCTCTAAAAGAGGGGGAAAAGGGGCCCCAGGGTACTAGGGGCCACAATTTTCCCCAGGCTCTGGGTTTCAAAGGGGTTCCCGGTTTTTGGCCCCCCACCCCCCCGAACGGTTTTTTTCCCCTATAATTTGGGGAAAAAAAAACAGGTTTTAAACCACCTTTTTCCAAAAATTTTTTTTCTTTGGGCCTATTATTTAAAAAACCCGGGGAAAAAAAAAAAAATTTTTAAAAGAAAAAAGGGTGTAGGGAAAGGGAAAATAAAACCCCTTTTGAAATCCAAAAAAAAACCCCTTAGTTTTTTTTAAAAATTTAAAAAATTTTTTAAAAAAAAATAATAAAATTTTTTATAAAAAAATTTTATATATAATATAAAATTTTTATATATTTTAAAAAATATATATATATTTATATATATTATTATATACATACATACAGTGGACCCCCAACTTACGATATTAATCTGTTCCAGAGAACACATCATAAGACGAAATTATCGTATGTCGAATCAGTTTTCCCCTTAGAAATAATGGAAATCAAATTAATCCATTCAAGACACCCAAAAATATGAAAAAAAAAATTTTACCACATGAAATATACATTTTCCTACACACAAAAAGAAGGATACATGCACAATATATATTGTGCATGTACTAGTGTACTAAATGAAGAATAAATGACACTTACCTTTATTGAAGATGTGGTGATGAGACACTGTTTTTGTCTTGGGAGTGCCTTTTCCTCCTGAGTAATGTAGGTCCTGTTTAGCATTTTCTTCCAGAACAGGCCGTATGACACTGTGTATGCCACTACGATTCTTAAATCTCTCAAATCAACCTTTACTGGCCTTAAATTCACCAATATGAGCACTAGTTCCAGGCATTTTTTCCTGTTCACTTGGGTGTTAGTCAACTGGTGTGGGTCGCATCCTGGGGGACAAGATTAACCCTTAAACTGTCCAAACGTAGATCTATGCTTTTTTAACATTTGAAAGTGTATGTAAAAAAACGTAGACCTTTTTTTTTTTTACATTTGAAATCGTGTAAAAAACTTTGATCTACGTTTTTTTTTTTTTGTTATATTTAAAAATATGTAAAAAAACATAGATCTACTTTTGGAGCACTATGCATGTAAACATAAATCTGTTTGAACAGTTTAAGGGTTAAGGACCCCAATGGAAATACGTTAGACAGTCCTCGATGACACACTGACTTTCTTGGGCAATGTCACACTAGCTCAGCTGAGGCGCTCAGGCCAGACGGACCAGACAGCCACGTTCGGGACGAATGACGTAAGTTGAGTTTTTCAACGTAGGTCGGGGTCAAAGTTTTACGCTGACAAGCATCGTAAGTCGGTTTTATCGTAGGTTGAGGCCATTGTAAGTCAGGAGTCCACTGTATAAATATATATATATATATATATATATATATATATATATATATGGGTATATATTATATGAGTGTGAAGCATGGGTGATGAATGTTGCAGCGAGAAGAAGGCTGAAGGTAGTGGAGATGTCATGTCTGAGGGCAATGTATGGTGTGAATATAAAGCAGAGAATTCGTAGTTTGGAAGTTAGGAGGAGGTGCGGGATTATCAAAACTGTTGTCCAGAGGGCTGAGGAAGGGTTGTTGAGGTGGTTCGGACATGTAGAGAGAATGGAGCGAAACAGAATGACTTCAAGAGTGTATCAGTCTGTAGTGGAAGGAAGGCGGGGTAGGGGTCGGCCTAGGAAAGGTTGGAGGGAGGGGGTAAAGGAGGTTTTGTGTGCGAGGGGCTTGGACTTCCAGCAGGCATGCGTGAGCATGTTTGATAGGAGTGAATGGAGACAAATGGTTTTTAATACTTGACGTGCTGTTGGAGTGTGAGCAAAGTAACATTTATGAAGGGATTCAGGAAACCGGCAGGCTGGACTTGAGTCCTGGAGATGGGAAGTACAGTGCCTGCACTCTGAAGGAGGGGTGTTAATGTTGCAGTTTAAAAACTGAAGTGTAAAGCACCCTTCTGGCAAGACAGTGATGGAGTGAATGATGATGAAAGTTTTTCTTTTTCGGGCCACCCTGTCTTGGTGGGAATCGGCTGATGTGTTAATAAAATATATATATATATATAAATTATATATATATATATATATATATATATATATATATATATATATATATATATATATATATATATATATATATATATATACACACACACACACACATACATACATACATACATACACATACAGTGGAACCTCGGCTTACGAACGCCCCACCATGCGAATTTTTCAGGATATGAACCATTGTTCCGTCAATTTTTTGCTTCTGGATACGAATGAAATTTCAGGATGCAAACTTCCCCATCAAAGGAGGTTCCTTAAATAAATAAATAAATTAAATAAATAAATAAATAAAATATTTATTTCTTTGCAAAGGTTACAATGTGTGTTTACATATACATAATATGATTGGAGCAAAGAAAGCCACTATCATGCCGAGGCATTTCGGGCAGACTTAACCTAATACTAATAGACTACGTACTTAAGTCTAGACAGGTGAAAAGTGTACTAGCAGTGGTTACCAAAATTTTGCTGATGGTGGTGCCAACTACTGGCTGCCTTTTGAAATTTCTCCTTACTGTTATTATTATTATATTGTATTATTATTGTTACTGTTATAAAAATAATTTATCATTATTATTATTAGTAGTAGTAGTACGTACATGGTGAGGGGCTCTTGATCTAGGGAATTGGATCTGTGCTGCATGTCCCTAAATTAATAATAATAATAATTATTATTATAATAATACGTTTGTACTACTAATAATGATAATACATAATAATGATTACATATAATAAATAATAATATAATAATAATACTATGTACGTACTGCATATAATTTAATTTGACAACACAACCACAATGCTCACCAGTGCACATGTGCTTATGGAGCTACCCTCGCATCCAAGGAAATCTCATGATTTCCTTACGTTTCGTGAAGTTACTTCGCCAGATTTCTTTCTTCTAACCATGGGTCCTAAGAAAGCAAGTGCAAAGGACGGTGCTGAGAAGAAAAAGACGATGATTTGCCATCCACGTAATGACATATTTTATTCATTCTAGAGTATATATCAGGTTTCTATGTTATTTATATTGTTTATTATGTCATATTAGATGAATTGTGACAAATAAATAAGCCGTAGAGCTGATATTAGAGTTATTTTGTCATGTCTCCTGAGAGCAGGAATGAATGAATTGCATTTCAATTAATTTAAATGTGGAAAACTGACCCAGCATACGAACAGATCAGGACACGAGCAAGTCCATGGAACGGATTAAATTAGTAAGCCGAGGTTCCACTGTGTATATGTATATATATCTCCAACCCCTATAATTTAAATAGTTGTCCAACATATTTTTAAATTTACCCAAGGATGAGCTTCAGTAGCACTATTAAACCATGATCTGCAGGTAACATTCAAGTACCATTCTCACCTATGCACTTGTCTCACCTATTTTTAAAACTGTCTTCAATGACCCTACTTAGGGATATACTGGTTTGGCAATAGAGTTGTTTATTAGTAGAACAAATTCCCAGTGGTGTCATTGAGGAGAGAACTTTGGGTAGCTTTAAACAGAGATTGCAAAGGTTTATGGGGTTGATGTGATTGGGTGTTAGTTGAACCTGCCTAGCTTGGGCTACTAGACCTACTGCAGGAATCTTTCATTCTTATGTTTTTAAACAGTATAATGTTGGTCAGTATTATATGTCTAGAGTTTGTTAAAAGCAGTTACTACATTTGCCTATTTAATGATTTATTTGTATTGTATTTTTGTTTTATTACCTCAAGGATTGTAAGTTGCAAATATTACAACAAAACTTTAAGTCTGTGAGAGGTATGTGGTTACTATGCCAGCAGAAGGTGTGGAAGTTGACACTGGTTGTCAACAGTCAATAGTTAAGGAGGATGCAGCCAAAGGTAGTCTTGTTGCTTTTTGCTCTCTCAAGTGGTTCAACCAGAGTCCTTGTATAATATTATTTAAATATATTTTAATTCCTAGTTCTGTTTTTAATATTTAGATACCCATGGCCTGGTGGCAAAAGCTCTTGCTTCACAAGGTGAGGGCCTGGGTTTGATTCCCAGTGAAGGGGTGGAAACTTCGGACATGTTTCCTTACACCGGTTATCTATGTTCACCTGTCAGTAAAATGGGTACCTAGGTGTTAGTTGACTGGTGTAGGTTTCATCCTGGGACAAAGCTGACCTAATTTACCCAAAATGCTCTGCATAACAAGGGGCTTTCTATATAGTAGTATGTCATTTATGTCAGCTAGGACTGTATACCTTGTACTACATGTACTTTTAGTAAATAAAGATATTATTATTAATAATATTTTTTCAAGATGTTGAAGGGTTAACTTAATTCTTCAAAACTGATTATGCATATGAAATAATCAGCCCTACTAATGTTTGTTTATGTCCTCTCATTTAGGAGAGTACTGTATGAAATACTATTCATACATTACACACCCTTTTCCAGTTTGCCATTGTTGACATTGTAGTTAATTTATATATGTGTGACTGTTTCAGGGTATCTGAATGGTTATCTCCAAAAGAGAAAACTTGGGACCAGTAAGCCAACATGGTGTCCATTGTGTAAGGCCAATTTGTTGCATCCTGCTGTGGTCTGTCCCTCTTGTAGCTAACTTCCACTTAACAAGTGACCCTGGCATATCTGGGCACCAGTTTTTTTCTACTGTTTCGATCTTGAGTGTTCATCTTGTAGATGGGTGGTGGTTGAGGCTGGTTGGATTTTTCTTGGAATGGTACATTATCTCTTATTAATTACTTCATATTAACAACTTTAGTATCCTTTAATGTCTTGGAAATTACTGTACTTAGATTGATGTTTATTTAAGTTCAAATTCATATTGTACTGTAAACATTTTGATATAGAAAATTTGCATTATTTTATGAAACAAAACAAACAAATAAAAAAATGTATAGGCATAGAAAAGTGACAAATGATCTTTCATTAAGAAAATACATATCTTAGTGAAGGAGGTACTACTAGGGTACATGTATTTTTTTTTTTTCAACAAACCGGCTGTATCCCACCACGCAGGGTGGCCCAAAAGGAAAAACGAAAGTTTCTCCTTTAAAATTTAGTAGTATATACAGGAGAAGGGGTTACTAGCCCCTTGCTCCCGGCATTTTAGTCGCCTCTTACAACACGCATGGCTTACGGAGGAAGAATTCTGTTCCACTTCCCCATGGAGATAAGAGGAAATAAACAAGAATAAGAACTAGAAAGAAAATAGAAGAAAACCCAGAGGAATTGTGTATATATATATGCTTGTACATGTATGTGTAGTGTGACCTAAGTGTAAGTAGAAGTAGCAAGACATACCTGAAATCTTGCATGTTTATGAGACAGACAAAAGACACCAGCAATCTTACCATCATGTAAAACAATTACAGGCTTTCGTTTTACACTCACTTGGCAGGATGATAATGCCTCCCTGGGCGGTTGCTATCTACCAAGGTAGACAAAGGTAGTACCTTTAATACATGTATTATGATTATATATCTAATGAAAATAAGAACAGTATTATATTTAGTTTGCATGCTTTGTCCCCAAAACTAATAAATGTTGGAGGTCATAATACAAGAGTATGTAGTTGATTCAGTTTTGCAACATTTGGTGGGATTTATTGGTTTACAACACTTCTGGTGTAAAATTATCTTCCAGTTTTGTTTATTACCTGTAGTATTTTAATTCAGTTATATCTTTTAATGTCGTGCATCTAGTATGGAACTGTAAAACTTTAATGTATATCCAGATTCTACTGGGTGTCTTGCTTTTCATGTTTGACATGAAGTTATAAATCTTGTTTTAACAATATTTCTCGGCTTTTAGGTTTAGTACTTGTTGGTATGTATAGATTGTTGTACATATTTATCTCTGGAAAGTACTGTTTTGTGTTATATTAAGCTGGTTCTTAGATAATGAACACATTAAAATGGTATTTCAGGTGTAGTAGTGTACTGTATTTTTTAATTTGACTTTTTCATATGATTATTTAAGCATTAATGTGTATAGATTTTTGTTTCTCAATAAATATTTTGAGTTACAGTTGTAAGAAAAGTTTTGATTATTTATTTGATATTAATTAAAGTTTATAAACTCATAGATACAATATATACTATTACTAGTGATTAAATTCTTTTACTTATAAACCTTCTACAGGTTCAGTGGATGATTACATATTTTTAATGAAATTGGAAATTACTAAGCAGGTTGTGTTTATCTTGTTACAGATGAAGGTCGTGTTACTCTTCTGTGTACCGGTATGGTAGGCGGGGGTGTGGGTAGGCTTCAGGGTGCAGGAGGGGCAGCTCTTAATGCTCTTGACTATGGCCCCTCATCGCCCTTGGCCACTACTACTCACACCACACCACACCCTGCACTGCAACCCATTACTGCATCTGCTGATACCCCCTCTTATGTGACAAGTGGAACATTGAGTGAAACTTTATATTCTTCCTTGAGAAGTATTTATGAGAGAATGACTAACTACACAAATTTATGCCAGGCTAACTGCTCTGGCCGTGGCGAGTGCCTGAATGGTACCTGCTTTTGCCTGGTATGTATGAATGCATGGGGTCATCTAATAATATTTGTAACTATATGGACCAAATTAGATTCTGTAATTTATTTTCATTAAAAAAATTTTCTGTGACATAATTTGTTATTTATACAGTAATGTACTCTAATGTACATGTATTTTAATAATACAGTGCCTATTTAGTGCCTCATCACTAATCCCAAGCTTAATATTATTTTCAGGTTCAGTATGAAGGGGACACCTGCAGGGACCCCAACCTTGCATACTTTATCAGCTTTGCTGCTGTGTTTTACCTGATAGCAGCTGTATGTTTGGCTCAGTTGGTAGTGTGCATTCAGTCAGAATATATGAAACAAAAAACACCATCCCTCAAGCGGGCATGTCGAGTGACTACCCAAAAGTTGCTGTATGTTATCACCTTTGTTGCTGCCATGCTAAGAGGGGTGTACTTCTCATCTCCTGTGAGTAGATATAGTTTGTTTATTTGATATGTTGCAAATATGCAATAGGTATCATAAATAAGTATGTGCATAAACAGAGCACACAAAGGGAGACTGCTCACTATTACTTATTGTTTCTGATATATTATTATGTATGTGTTCCTCACCTAAACTAGTATGTCATAGAATTACCCTTCCTTTTGGTACACTCCTTAAGTCTCGTAAGGGTGATTTATGGAGGATAGGAAAGTCAGTACCTTCCCACACCTACTTAATGGCTCTCGAGATTTTGGGGTTAGAGGACACACCTGAGTCATGAAGCTTATGCTTAACAAGCTTCCAGACATTCTCTATCAGATTTAAATCCAGTGAGTTTCCAGGCCAGTCATTAAAGCATGAAAAAATCACAATAATTTAGCCATTTCTTTGTCTTTGGCAGTATGGCAAGGGGCACTGTTTTTTCATATGAAAGCTGCACTGGCACTTCTTGAATCTGTCAGGCAAACGGTCTCCTAAAAGCATACTTATGGGTGTGCATATTTATGATGCCTACTGTAATTTGATGACTATTGAGGAAAGTTTCTTTTATCTGTTAAACATGTTAGAATATTTAATTTTTTTTTTTTTTTTTTTACAATGGTGTCATTTATAAAACATTCTTAAGTCAACTGGATAGTGTGGATAAAGTAAGACTCGCTTTATTTTGCACCTCATTTTTTATGCATCATCAACTTTCTTTAGATGTACAACATTCCTACACTTAATTCATATATGGAAGGTTATATACAAGAAGTGTGTCAGTAGAAGTGAGGTGAAAATGAAGAGATTTGGGAATGGTATAAATATTAGAAGAAAGATTGGCTTCTTTGAGAACATGTTGGAAAGTTGTGGGGTTTATGAATATGGGGTGGTATTGTGGTATTAAGAAGATATGTGCATGAGATAACAAAAGAACTAATTGTTGGAATGATGTGATAAAAGAGAAATCTGATAAAAGAGAAATCTGGATCATTGAAAATGGAAAGTTAGAGATGTAACAAGAGTGGTAAAGGAGTGCAGAGGAGCAGATAATGAAAGAATCAGTAATGCATTGTCAACAACAGTAGTTGAGAATAGGGAAAGTTTTGGAGTGAATATTTAAAAATGTTTATTGCGAATGATAAATGAATGCAGAAATATAATTTTTGTGGGGAGGAGGATGAATGAGATCTCTTAGAATGAGTGACCATGGAGGAAGTGAGCAAAGCATTAAGAAAGATGACAGTGGGAAAAGTCGAAGTGGAAAAAAATACTTCATGGGGATAAAGTGCATTAATGGTAGGTGCATTTGTTTTGTGTATAAAAGCAAGTGTCCAAGGTACTAGGTTGGTAGGCAGCAACCACCCAGACTACCATCCTGCCTAATGAGTGTACAATGGAACCTGTAATTTTTTTCTGTCTTATAAACACTCAAGATATCAGGTACATCTTGCTACTTCTACTTGGGTCACACTACACATGCATGTACAAGCATATACAATATATACACATCCCTCTGGGTTTTCTTTTATTTCCTTACTAGTTCTTGTTTATTTCCTCTTATCTCCATGGAGAAGTGGAACGGAATTCTTCCCCTGTAAGTCATTTGTGTAGTATTTATTTTATTTTATTATCACACTGGCCGATTCCCACCAAGGCAGGGTGGCCCGAAAAAAAAAACTTTCACCATCATTCACTCCATCACTGTCTTGTCAGAAGGGTGCTTTACACTACAGTTTTTAAACTGCAACATTAACACCCCTCCTTCAGAGTGCAGGCACTGTACTTCCCATCTCCAGGACTCAAGTCCGGCCTGCCAGTTTCCCTGAACCCCTTCATAAATGTGTTGTGTTGTAAGAGGTGACAAAAATGATGGGAGCAAGGGGCTAGTAACCCCTTCTCTTGTATAAATTACTAAATTTAAAAAGAGGCTTTTTCATTTTTCTTTTTAGGTCACCCTGCCTAGGTGGGATATGGCCGATTTGTTGAAAAAAAAAAGCAAGTGTATTTTCCAAGGATTGGTAAACACTATGTATGGCTCTTTATTTTTTAAATGAATGTATAAGGCTTTAGGTTCAAACCTATGAAATCTGACAAGTGAGATATGAGTGTGTGGACCAGGCAATATAGCTGGGGCAATACACTTGCATCTCCCATGTCATAGTTCATATATTTGAACCTAAAGCATTAAACATATATTTAAATTAAACATATATTTAAAAACAAAGATTGACAGTCATGCTTTATGGCTTATCTTGGGTTTGTATGTTAAGGAGTTTTGAAGGTGTACTCACCTATTTGTGGTTGCAGGGGTCGATTCACAGCTCCTGGTGTGTAAAGAAGGAAGTGTAAAGTGAATTGAGAAAAAGAAAATATATGGAATGAAAGAGTACCTCACTCAATTAGCATAGAATGAAGTTGATTAAGAGAAAGGAAATGTATTTAGATGCATTATTTAGGTGTACTGTACTGTATGTACCATATGTATTATATGGTTTTTGTGAAGGCCAGGTTAAATAGTAGATGGGATAAAAAGTTTCAGGAGTGTTAAGGTATTTCCAGAAATAAGCATGTAATTTAATGCAAAGAATGACAGTGGTGAATGTTTTCTTCTTTGGATCACCCTGCTTAGATGGGAAATATCTGATGAATTAGAAAATACTGCAATGATGCATTGTTATCAGTCTGATTTAATTATTATACTTTCTTTACATGCTTGTGTTATATATTTTTCCTTTCTAGTACAGTATACTAAGAAATTAGAAGTTCCCAATTTTCTTTGTCCATAGTCAAATGCTGATCTGAAGCTGGCACCGTCCTTCATGAGTGCCTTCTACCCTATCATCCTCAGTGCAGGTTCCCTTATTGTCTGCTTTTGGGCTGAGGTGAGTAGCTTACAATTAAAACTGTAATTATAGTGCTACAAACATTCTTCAGTTTAGTTATTACACTGTTTCTTCTTGAGATTTGGAAAATTCTTAGTGGAGATAGCTAGAACATATTCTCCGACTCTGATTAGCCCCAGTTCATAATTCTGTACTTGTATTATATATGTTCTCATTTATAAAGGCAGACAGAATGTTCGTCTTATTCACCAGTCAGTTTAGTGAATCACATTAAAGAGAGAAAAAATGCAGCTCTAAAATATAATATTTCAAAATAAAATTGTTAATAAATTGAAAAGATTACATTATTGTATACTGTATATAATTTTTTCCTTAGAATGTTAAGACTCTCACTGAATGATAATATATGAAACATTGTTAATAACAAGCTCATGACAGCTAACTAGTTATGAATTAGAGCTGTTTTTCCTATCTTGTATCTCGCTTTTATGAAAATACATACAGTATGATGATCATAATGATCATAATACATGGACAAATTGCAACATGTTCAGTTAGTGTTAGGTATCTAAATTAAAAAAAGAAGGGGGGGTCATAATCCCTTCATTTATAAAAGTGTGTTTTATATATGTTCAGTGTTTTACATATGTATTCAATTTTTTTTTTTGTTGAAATTCATTTTGACAAAATCTGCAATGTGGTAGAAACAGTATATGGCACTCTCAGGTAGTTGGACAAAGATACAAAATGCAGACACTAGGATATTTTATTGGAAGCATTTTGGTCCTGGGTCCGTGTTCCCATGATACATTTAGAATGATTAAGGTCCTAGGATTGAAACATTTCCAATAAAGTATCCCAGTGTTTGCAGTTTTTTTTTTTCCCAAAGTACTAACCAAATCTACAATATTGAAACTAATTTACATGAGGAATGATTACTGCAACATTTGTCTTCTAATTTCAAAATATCCTTTAATAAAAAAAAAAAAAGAATTGACACCAATGCTAATAGGCATCTTGGTGAATATAAACAACTGTGTTTTGGGTGCCTACATCCTCATCCTCCCTCGATGAATGAGTGGCTGGCTGGATGCCTTGAAGAAATGTTTTTACATATTTTCACTTCATTCATCTGTTGTAAATTTTTTTTTAACTTCTGTGCGAGTGGTTTCTCAATATGATATGAAAACAGTCTGTTGCATAATTACAAATTAGATATGAACTATTGTTTATTGTCCTGTTTCCAAATGGTCCTAGGCAAACTATCATCCACTCCTTCATGGAAAATGAGTGAGGGAATCAGCAGGTATGTTTGGCAGTTGTTTTGTTAAAAATTACTTATTAATAGAATGAAAGAGTGAAAATGTGCAATAGTATTTTCAATTACCAGTGTCTTGGGAAAGAAGGAAAAGGCAGGTTCAGCAGGTGAAAAATTCAAGCAGTTTTCTTAGTCTGCTGCCAGTCAAGCTATATACTACAGTGGAACCTCGTTGTCGAACTTAATTCATTCCAGATGTTGGTTCGACAACCAAAATGGTCGCAACCAAATCAGTTTTTCCCATAAAGAATAATGTAAATAGAATTAATCCATACCAGACCAAAAATGACAATTTATTAATAATAATGTACTAACTACTACATAAAACATTGTATAAAATTATACAGCACACGGAAACTAAAAATGAATACTAAATGAAAATAATATAACTGAAATACTGTACAGTAAATGAAAATTTAACTGCCTCTTGCCTGTCAGAGGAGAGTTAATGGCAAAATTGTAGCGGCTTCAAATCTTGCGGGAGAAAGCTGGTAGGCCTACATGTGAGGGAATGGGTCAGCATGGTCAGTGTGTGTGCAGTATAAAAAAAATCCTGCTCTGTTCCACAAGGCACAGTACTCGCCCCCATCTTATTCCTCATCCTCATATCAGACATAGACAGAGATATACATCACAGCACCGTATCATCCTTTGCGGATGATACTAGGAGCTGCATGAGGCTGTCATCTGCTGAGGATGCGGTTAACCCTATGACTGTTTACGCCGTATAAATACGTCTTACGAGCCACTGTTTCTAATTCTAGTGGCTTCAAATCAAGCGGGAGAAAGCTGGTAGGCCCACATGTGAGAGAAAGGGTCTGTGTGGTCAGTGTGCACCACATAAAAAAAATCCTGCAGCACACAGTGCGTAATGAGAAAAAAAAACTGATCGTTCTTTTGGATTAAAGCGCCGACTTTGAGGTGTATTTTCGTATAGTATTTATCGTTGTATTCGCGTTTTCATGGTCGTAGGTGATAAAATGGAAAACATATTACAGAAATAGAGATGATTTTCATTACTTTGACGATGAAAACGACCTTGAAACTGAGCTCAAAGTAGCGGAAATGTTCGATTTTTACCAATGTTCACGAGTAAACAAATCACACCACACGTCCAATACACGTCAACTGGGGAGTCTAATATTCTTTCACTAGTGCACTGATATTATTTATACCATTTTTGCAATAATGCAGTTGTCTGCATACCAGTAAATTTTGTATTTTTTTTTGTATGAATAAAAAATCAAAATAGAAAGCAATAATAATATAAGAGGGGCCTAGAGATGTGACTAATGAACAGAGGATATGTTATTTTAGTGCCAAGAATGTCTACCTTGTTTATTCTGGACCCTATTTTGAAATTGGCATCTTTTTTAATTTGCGTGAAATTGGCCAAATTGCCAATTTCTGACCACTATATTGGGTAGTTCAGATTGGTAAATGGGCGGTTTCTTGTACTCAGTTGATAGATAAAATGGAGTTCTAAAGAAATAGCTATGAATTTGGTCAACTGGAACAACGGAATTGGCTGAAAACAGGGCTCAAAGTCGGCGAAATCGCCGATACGCATATGTTGCCGAGACCGCTAATTTCGCGGGAGCGTAATTCCCTGAGTTTTCGACCAAATTTCGAACTTTTGGTGTCATTACCATCGGGAAAAGATTCTCTATCATTTCATAAGAAAAAAATAATTTTTTTTTCAAAAATTTATCGACATAGAATGACAGTTTCAGAAAGGGGAATGCGGCAGTCAAAGGGTTAACCTCCAAGAAGATATAAACAAAGTTTTCCAGTGGGCAACGGTAAACAATATGATGTTTCAATGAGGACAAATTCCAACTACTACGTTATGGAAAACTGGAGGAGATAATAACTAGAAAAGAGCATACTACAAACTCTGGCCATACAATAGAGCGAAAAAATAATGTAAGGCACCTGGGAGTAGTAATGTCTGAGGATCTTACTTTCAAGGATCACAACAGTGCCACGATCACACGTGCAAAGAAAATGATAGGATGGATAATGAGAACGTTCAAAACGAGAGATGCCAAGCCAATGATGATCCTTGTTCTCTCTAGGCTGGAATACTGCTGTACATTAACATCTCCATTCAAAGCAGGTGAAATCGCAGATCTAGAGTGTGTACAGAGATCCTTTACTGCACGTATAAGTTCTGTCAAGCACCTTAACTACTGGGAACGCTTGGAAGCACTTGACTTGTACTCGTTGGAAAGCAGGAGGGAGAAATATATCATAATCTACACTTGGAAAATCCTGGAAGGAATGGTCCCAAATCTGCACACAGAAATCACTCCCTACGAAAGTAAAAGACTGGGGAGGCGATGCAAAATGCCCCCAATTAAAAGTAGGGGCACCACTGGTACACTAAGGGAAAACACCATAAGTGTCCGGGGCCTGAAACAGTTCAACAGCCTCCCATCAAGCATTAGGGAAATTGCCAATAAACCCCTGGCTGCCTTCAAGAGAGAGCTGGACAGATACCTAAAGTCAGTGCCGGATCAGCCGGGCTGTGGCTCGTACATTAGACTGCGTGCGGCCAGCAGTAACAGCCTGGTTGATCAGGCCCTGATCCATTGGGAGGCCTGGTCATAGACCGGGCCACGGGGGCGTTGATCCCCGGAATAACCTCCAGGTAACCAGGTATCACGCAGTGCATGATGGTTGTATTCTCGTTTCCTTGGTCTCGTTTGATAGAATGGAAGCTATATTACAGAAATAGAGATGATTTTCAATGGTTTAAAGACTAAAAGTAGCTTCAAATTGAGCTCAAAATAGCGGAAATGTTCGATTTTTGCCGATGTTCAAAGAGTAAACAAATCAGGTCAGGCGTCCAGTACACGTCAACTGGTGGGTCTGATACGCATTCACGTATGCAATGATATTATTTATACAATTATGCAGTAGTCTGAATAACATTAAATCTTCTATTTTTTGTGTGAATAAAAATTCAAAATGAAGAGCAAGCGTAATATAAGATGGGCCAGGAGACGTGACTAATGGACAGATGGAATATATTTTAGTGCCACGAATGTTTGCATTGTTTATGCTAGATCCTATCTTGAAATTGGCCTCTCTTGATTTTGTGTGAAATTGGCCAAATTAGTAATTTCAGTTAATTTTATTAGGTAGTTACCATAGGTAAATGGGCAGTTTCTTGTACTCAATCGATAGAATAAAAGAGAGTTTTAGCGAAATAGCTATGAGTTTGTCGACTGGAACAATGGATTTTTTTTTTATATTTTATTTAAACAATGGAATTAGCCCAAAATAGGGCTCAAAATGGGCGAAATCGCCTATGCGTAAATATCGCTGAGACTGTTAACTCTACGAGAGTGTAATTCCGTAAATTTTCCATCAAATTTCGTACTTTTGGTTCCATTACCTTCGCAAGATGCACAGCAAGATCTCAAGAGATTTTACAGCAGGCGTTAGTCACTGTACTAACTGAGACCCACGCTGTGGACTCGGGTCATCACGTGATCAGAGCGTTGTCGGTGGGCACCCAAGACAATTAGTCCGTTCGACAACGGAGGTTCCACTGTGTATGTATATATAACTCTACTCACGAAATCGTAATGACACGATTGCAAACAAACCATACCACGGACGGGGATAGAACCCGCGATCAGAGAGTCTCAAAACTCCAGACTGTCGCGTTAGCCACTGGACCAGCTAGCCACGATAAGATTCGTCCAACTGG